GGATAATGAAAATATTCTGTGTCTTGATTATCACTGCTATTACATAACTGTATAAACTTGTGAAAATTTATACAACTGTACACCAAAAAATGGGTGAATTTTTACTTTGCCTCAATTATAACTCAATAAGCCTAGCTAAAAATTCATGTATGTATATATTTATATATGTTATGAATGTTTTACTTCAATAAAATTTTACCTGAAAATGTAAGTTTAAAAAATGTTATACTTGTGTACAATGTTTGTCTAAATCTATGACCATATAATTGTCCCTTGTCATCCAGCGGATAACAAGGATTGTTATCAATCCAATTGTATACCAATACCAATACCAAAGATTGTATACCAATCCAGAGGATTGGTTCTAGGACCCCCACAGATATCAAAATCTGCAGTGTTCAAGTTCCTTAATTGGCCCTCCAGTATCTGTATATATGGAACCTGTGGATAGGGAGGGCCAGCAATACTTAGAAATTTTGACTCACTATATGCTGTGCTCAAAAATATATTTTAAAGTATATGTTCACAATGTGTGAAGGTAATTATTAGCAATTGTCTGTGAATGTAGAGAGTATCATTTATATAAAGCTTGTCAATGTGTTGTTCAGTCGCTAAGTTGTATCTGACTCTTTGTGACCCCATGGACTGTATCAGGCCAGGCTTCACTGTTTTCCACTATCTCCCAGAGTTATGTAAAGTTTAGAAATGTATAAACAATCAAATATGTTATCTGTAAGTACATAGCTATATTGTAAAACTATAAAATACTCTTGAAATTGATGAACCCAAGTTCATGGAAATGTTTCCCCTTGGGGTTGGAGGGAAGGAAGGAAATGTGATTAGTGAGTGCAACACTGGGTTGGGATAAAAGATTCCTTTTTTAATAGAAAGCAAAATAGCAAAACTTCTTTTAAATCTAAAAGTTTTCAATAGTGTGTAAAGAATACTATCAATATTGTGGATAGTTTTATTTGGTTGTAAATATACATATTTATGCTTGTATATATATATCTAGAAGGATATACAACAAACAGGTAACTTGAACTCTCAGAACATTTGTAGTTTGAAGATTGGGTTGGGAGATTGACAAGTAATTACCAGAAATACGGGAAATATGATGGCAGAGAAACAGTAAAAATATCTTGTTTGCTAATTTTTATTGTTTTTGAGATTAAATATATTTTTGACTTGCAATGTGATGGAAAGAATCAACATGACTGAGCGACTAACACTTTCACTTTTCTTTCAATAATGAAACTAGGAAATGCAATAGGTATAAACAGCACATGTAAATTAATTAAATTTTCTTGCATTGCTTGCATTCTTTGTGACCCCATGGACTGTAGCCCACCAGGCTGCTCTGTCCATGGAGTTCTCCAGACAAGAATACTGGAGTGGGTAGCCATTCCCTTCTCCAGGGGATCTTCCCAACCCAGGGATCGAACCCAGGTCTCCTGCATTGCAGGCAGATTCTTTACCTTCTGAGCCACCAGGAACATTACATTGCATATATCATAAATCCAACTCAAAGTAGCCTATGCAAAAAAAAAAAAAAACCAAACTCGTGTGTCCAAGAAATGAATCTGGAACTGTCTGGTGTACAGGGATCCAGGATACAAATGATGTCATCAAGGTTCAATTTTCTTCTAGGGTTATCAGGATGGACTACTCTGTTTGAACAATCTAGACCATATAGGGACGCCCTCAGTGGTCCAGTGGCTGGGACTCCACATGCCCAATGCAGGGGACCTGGGTTCAATCTCTGGTCAGGAACTGGATCCCACATCCTGCAACTAGGAGTTTGCATGCCACAGCTAAAACATCCTGTGTGCCAAAGCTTTAAAAAAAAAAAAGATCCTGCATGTCGCAATGGAGGTCAAAGATCCCATGTGCTGCAACTAAGACCAGCACAACTAAATAAATAAATATTTTTTTTAAAATTCTAGATGATATATACTTGAGTACCTGAGGTAGTGGGGAAGGAAGTTTATCCTAGCCACCAAACAGGATCACTGTGCCATAGGGTAACAGTATTTACTCACCCCTAAAAAAAGTTGACCAGATAAATGTGTATCTGATAAAGTAGCAGAAGGAGCTTGTAAGGCCAGAAGGTTTATAATAGCTTTGAACATAGTCTCCATTGCCTAGATATAAGATTAGGCATTAGAAGTAATAAATCAAATGGGTTGCTATGAAGCAACACCAAATCTTCATGGTGAACTGAGTGTAGGAAGAGGAATGAAATGTTCATTTTTACCAAAGCAGGGGAATTTTAGTACAGTTCTCACATGCCATTTTCATTGCAGAAATTTTTTAGGCATAATCTTTGTTATGGCTTTTTCCTGCTACAACATTGCTGGTTTTGTTTTTGGCTTTGTGTTTGGGTTTGTTTGTTTTTTGGTTTTCTGCAGAAGTACCGGGTACAAAAGCTTAAAAATAATCATCTCAGGTTCTTAACATTGTCCCATTGTTATTTATCAAATTATCAGTTACCTGTCAAATAGTTGATAGTTCTTAAATTCCATGCAACAGGATGTCTGATGTTTTGTAAGTTGAATGTGAAATATTTTGGGGGCAATTCTTTTTGGTTTCTTATTAATCACAGTGGGTATTCGGTCATGCAAGTTACCCTTTCAGTTACATTTTATAGTATACTCAAAACTAGCAAAGCTGTTAATTATTGGCATCAAGAACAAGCTTTAAATGCTTTTTTAAAAATAATTTTTGAGACTATTTCATCCATAATTCTAGAATGTGACATGTTAAAGCAAGCACTTGAACATCTTAAATTTAATTAAAAGTAACACTTTATTAGGATTTGCTAGTGCAGATAGCTAATTAATTTGGTGCTTAATTTTTTATATAAAAATTTAAACTATTTTTTTAATAATTCCGCATTATTAAAATAGAAAAGTGGAACTGTTTAATGTTTATTTATATTACACATTAATTTTCCTATGGTCAGATTTCACAATTTATCTTATGACTTCATTTTTATGTGAGAAAATAATTTCAGTGAAATCATGAGTTCAGCAAAATTAATGAATTTCATTCAACCTCCAACTTTTGATTACTTTTTAATTATTACCTTTAGTGCAGTTTGTGACGTGTATGATAACAGTTTGCTTCATGTTATCTATCAAACACATTTAAAGCAAAAGACAGCCTTTTCATGCAAATTAAACTTTAAATAAGCAAAATTAAAGTCTGACTTACCAGTGCCATACTTTATTTATTTATTTGTTTGTTTATTTATTTTTATTAGTTGGAGGCTAATTACTTTACAATATTGTAGTGGTCTTTGCCATACATTAACATGAATCAGCCATAGATTTACATGTGTTCCCCATCCTAAACCCCCCTCCCTTCTCTCTCCCCATCCCATCCCTCTGGGTCATCCCAGTGCACCAGCCCTGAGCACTTGTCTCATGCATCCAGCCTGGACTGGCGATCTGTTTCACACTTGATAATATATATGTTTCAGTGCTGTTCTCTCAGATCATCCCACCCTCGCCTTCTCCCATAGAGTCCAAAAGTCTGTTCTATACATCTGTGTCTCTTTTTCTGTCTTGCATATAGGGTTATCGTTACCATCTTTCTAAATTCCATATATATGTGTTAGTATGCTGTATTGGTCTTTATCTTTCTGACTTACTTCACTCTGTATAATGGGCTCCAGTTTCATCCATCTCATTAGAACTGGTTCAAATGTATTCTTTTTAATGGCTGAGTAATATTCCATGGTGTATATGTACCACAGCTTCCTTATCTATTCGTCTGCTGATGGGCGTCTAGGTTGCTTCCATGTCCTGGCTATTATAAACAGTGCTGCGATGAACATTGGGGTGCATGTGTCTCTTTCAGATCTAGTTTCCTCGGTGTGTATGCCCAGAAGTGGGATTGCTGGGTCTTATGGCAGTTCTATTTCCAGTTTTTTAAGGAATCTCCACACTGTTCTCCATAGCTGCTGTACTAGTTTGCATTCCCACCAACAGCATAAGAGGATTCCCTTTTCTCCACAGCCTCTCCAGCATTTATTGCTTGTAGACTTTTGGATAGCAGCCATTCTGACTGGTGTGTAATGGTACCTCATTGTGGTTTTGATTTGCATTTCTCTGATAATGAGTGATGTTGAGCATCTTTTCATGTGTTTGTTAGGCATCTGTATGTCTTCTTTGGAGAAATGTCTGTTTAGATCTTTGGCCCATTTTTTGATTGGGTCATTTATTTTTCTGCAGTACCATACTTTAAAAGGTAGGTTAATAACTTTTTTTGACTCTGCTGGAAATTTTGGGACTGATGTTTGGAAGGTACAATTTTTTTTTTAATTACTATTGAACTCTTGAAAAACTGATTAAGACTCTTTAAAATTTGAATACTATAAGCCAAGATGAACAATAGCAAGCCTTGAGTAAAATACCTCCAACATTCAAAATTACTGCCATTCTCCCTTTAGAGATTTTTTTTTCCTGCAGAAAAGGAATTGAAGAGGTTAAATCATATCTGTAAAAATCAGGTTGTAGTCTTGTGCAATTTTTTTCATGTTAAATATCAAAGATGGCTTAACATATTTAGAATTTTCTGAGTTTCTATTAATAAAGTTAAAAGAAAATCTAGCGATCAGGCAGTGGAGCCACATAAAATTTATATGTGAAACACCCATTGTGCTTATCTCTACTCTAGATAATGCTCTGAACCCATGTTCCACATTCTGAATTCTGTGTGTAAAGTTAAACATTGCAGAAAGGCATATATCTGATGATACAGATGAATAAGATTGAAGTTTAGAAATGAGCAAAGTTGGTAAATTAAATGTTTATGTCTTTAATATTTCTGTTATTAATATAATTGAATTATTTGTGGGAAATTATGAACCACTACTAAAAATACTGATGGGTTTTTTAAACTCCCAGAAATTAAAGACTTCTATTCATACTATAGTAGTATATTTAAAGGTACCAAACTGCTATTTAATTTCTTAAAATGTTAATTACTTGCAGGCAAAATTGTTAGCTATGCAACAAGCCAGAGAAACCGCAGTTCAGCAGTACAAAAAACTGGAAGAAGAAATCCAGACACTTCGAGTTTACTACAGGTAAAATTCTTTTTATCCTGGGCATAAATAACTGTTAGTTTGGAAAATGTTTCTACCCAATTTTATAGTGGTGAATGAGGAAATACCTCAATGAAATTAAACATTATACACTTAAGATATTTTTGTAATTTAAAAATGATTCAGGCATAAAATATTATTCTATTTGTTTCCTTCTGGTATTTGGTAAAGTTTAAGTTGAGACTCCCATTATAAAATGGGAATTATAAAGTTTACGTAACTCTTAACCAGTTAAATGGAGCCTGCTTAGCTCTTAAGCTATTTGCTCATCTAAATGGCACCTCTGAAATGAAGGAATATATTTTTAAAATAGTACATGAATAGTAGTAATAACAGCCTTTCAACTATCACAGTATGAGAAGTTTCTAAAGGAATTCCACTAAAGGATTTTTAAGACTAATTTAATTTATGCTCCAAGATTAGTTGTGAAATTAATTCAGTAGGTCACACTGGCATTTTTTAATGAATGGAGATAGAATAGAAAATGTCAAGAGTGCAGTAAGGGTAAATATTGTTTTGTGACATTTTTGTTTCAGTTTTGTGTTGTGTGTGAGAGAGGAGATTGTTTCTTGGGCTACATGTAAAATATATATTTTCATGGTGGATCATAATTTTTTTTTATAAAAGGTTTGAAAATGATGTACAAGGCACTGCATATTTTTAAATGCTTAAGAAAATTAAAAACCGTCAAGTCTGAAATGGCAGAATTCACTAACTAGAACTGTAGGTTATTGAAAGATTTTTTAAAATTTTGATCCCCTTCTCAAAATAATGTTCAGTGCATAAAATTCAATTAAATCAAAATCAGTTTTATTGAAATAAAATTATGAAGGTATTACATCATGTATATTAATGCACTAATACATTAAATAACTATCAAACAGCAAATATATTAAAAACTGTAATTTCAAAGTAGTGATAACTATAAATAATATTTTTGAAATGTGACCTGAAAATACCAGTGGTTTCTATGGGCACAAAGTCTCAAGAACCACTAATAATACTACTGAAGGTTGTTGCCTGTGTTCATAATTGTAAGAAATACTGTATTTACATGAGAGTGAAAAATAAAGATGAAAATTTTTTCCCATCCTCATGTTAAGAATCCATGCTTTGAAGCAGTGTTATTTGATATAAATCCTAATTGGTTATTGTTATGGGTTGAATTGCCTCCCTCACAAAAATATATTGAAGTCTTAACCCCTCGAGCCTCAGAGTGTGCTCTTATTGGGGTCTAAATAAGGTCTTTAACAGAGCTAATCAAGTTAAAATGAGATCATTAGCATGGGCTCTAACCCATTATGACTGAAGTTTCTATAAAAAGTAGAAAGTTAGCCACAGAGACTCAGGCATAGAGGAAAGATTATGTGAAGACCTGGGGCAAAGGCAGCCTTGTGCCTGGGGAAATGTAACATATCTACAAGCACGTGAATACCAAGGATTGGCGCAAACACCAAAAGCTAAGAGAGGCACCAGGAGGCTTCTCCCTAACAGCCTTCATGGAAGACACAGTCCAGCTAAAACCATGATTTTGGACTTGTAGCCTCCAGAACTGTGAGATAATAAATTTCTGTTGTTCTAAGCCCCCTAGCTTGGGTACTTTGCTACAGCAGCTCAGGAAACTAACACAGTTACCGAATTCCAAGTATGTTTGGTTGATGACTGACCATGGGGAATCATTTGGCTTGCAATTAGAATCAGTAGGTATGTGGGCATGCAGAACCCTGGTAGTAGTTGAGGATGTCCAATCCTTTTTTTTTAAGAGCATGAATATAAGTCTTTCCTCCCAGGTGGAGCTAGTGGTAAAGAACCTGCCTGCCAATGCAAGAGACATAAGAGATGCTGATTCGATCCCTGGTCGGGAAGATTCCCCTGGAGCAGGAAATGGCAGACCACTCCAGTACTCTTGCCTGTAGAGTCCCCATGGACAGAAGGGCCTGGCAGGCTACAGTCCATAGGGTCGCAAAGAGTCGGGCACAACTGAAGCGACTTAGCACACACATACATTTTACACTAGTGGATTCTCAGCTGTAATTATGCAATAGAATCATTTGAGGAGCCTCTAAAAATCCTGATCCCCATCCAATCGCAGACTGATTACTTCAGAGTCTCTTGGAGTAAGACTCTGCTGTGGCTTGTTTAAAGCTCCTTAGAAATTCCCTTGTGCAGCCAAGTTTGAAGCCTGCCAGTTAAGATCCACACTTCAGTTAGCTGCATTAAGTTAGGGTTACTTCTTGGGAGAATAACAGAAGTCTTTTTTAAGGCTTATGAATACTGTGTGGTTTATGCCTAGACCTTGGCTGTTGTGGTATGGTATGTAGTCATTCACCCCATTGATAGGGAGAGTTTTTATGGCACCTTCCCCTGCCATGAGATAGGTCAGCAGGTGTTCTGTCGTTAAAGTGACAGTGTCCAAGAATGCTGAGGGTGATGTGCTAATCTTGCATAAGTTGACCTTACTTACTGAAAAACAAACCTTGATACTCCTCCTCTTTGCTGAATTGCAGAGGATTATTGAAAGATTTTTGAAAATTACGTGGATTAAACATTTATCTTTCAAAGACTTTTAAAATCTACATGAATCTAGCAGAGCTAAATAACCTTTTTTAAATAGTTAACAATTATTGGCTCAAAGATAAGCTTCACAAAGACCCCTCTCACTGCTACTTTTTTTTTTAATTGCTGATAATGTAGTAAAGCTACAGAGATTTGCAGTTAGACAGCCATGCCTTGTGTAACCTTATATAAATGAACCTCTTCAAGACCATTTTCATTTTATAAAATGAGAATTGTAGTACCTATCACATAGAGGTTTTGTGTTCTGTTTTTTATGGCCAGGCCACACAGCTTGGAGGATCTTAGTTCCCTGACCAGGGATCAAGCCCATGCCCTCATCAGTGAAAGCACAGAGTTCTAACCACTGGACCACCAGAGAATTTTCTAGAATGTTTTAAGTACATGCAACCCTTCACACAGTGTTTGGCTGATTATCAGTGCTCAACCAATGTTAAATTTCTTTTTAAAACAAGAAGTCAGTGAGGTAAGAGTAGAATTAAAAACAATATCACTGAAGCCAAGGAAGGAGATTTTAATTAAAAAAATTTTTTTAAGTCAAATGTTTCTAAATAGTTAAGATATGAGCAAAAAGTATCCCCTTTGTTTGAAATGAGGCATCATTATTGACATCTATAAGAGCAGTTTTAATAGAGTATTAGGTATAGAAGCCAATTTTTTGTAAGTTCAAGAATGATTTGAGGGAGAGAAGAATAGTAGCTTGAACTATCAGTTTGGGTGATCCTTGAAGAAACCTGAATAAGAAAGGTGTTATAGCTGAGAAGAAAGGAAAGTGGGTTAAGGATTTTGTCTTTTGTTGTTGAAAAATGGCAGACATTTGAGCATGTTTATGACTCACTGGAAAGAGCCAAGAGAGAATTGTTCTAGAACAGAACCCGCCCAAATTTAGAAAGAGAAGGAATTAAGAATCTGTAGAAGGGTTTGCCTTGAACAGGAAGATGGTCACCTTGTGCTTATAGACAGGAGTAAAGGAGATAAGAATAGCTATGAATATAAATAAATTTAAGCTCACAGTTAAGTTTCCTTTTTAAGGTATAGAAAACATTCTGTGAGGATATTCAGAAATTTATTTTAAATAGAATAGGAGTAAGATTCCTGGGATGTAGAACTCTAGGATGAGAGAGGCAATTTCTAAAAACAATAAGGTTTAAATTTCCTGGAATCCCAGATTCTAATTTAAGTGAAAGTAAACAGTATTTCTTACACACCCAAATAGATGGTGGTTACAGATCAATACATGAAACATAACTAACTCATAGAGACAGTACTTTTTTTTTTTTCTTCAAAGTTTCCTCTGCTATAGAAAACAGGGGAAGAGTTCCAATTGATTGTGAAGAAAGCCAAGACTAACTCTGTAATTTTCATGTGTGTTTGAATGTGTGTATGTATATCATAATAGGTAATGTATTTTTTAAATAAAGTTTAAGAAAAAATACACTTTTAGTTATTCAAATCAGTTTTACACACACACACACATATATATATATATATATACCCATGCATGTATATGGTCATGTCAAAGAAAGTTGCTTATCAATAACTAAGAAAAAATACACTAAGAAAAATATAGGAATAGGACAAGAAGCTAGAGCCAGGAGTAAGTCAGCTTGCATATTTACCATGAAACGGTAAAAGAATAAGCCTCAAGAATAATTCTGTCTTAAACTTTCCAACAGCCAAAGCAAAAGAGGATAGGTGATCAGTCATTAGTGTTAGGGGCATATTAAAATATGCTAATGACTTTTATTCTTCTTGATATTGACCTTATTCTTTCTAATTTTTTTCTAAAAAGTCATTTTTTTAGCTGGGTTACACCAAGAGCTACTGTTTATTATAAACGTTTCATTCCCTGAATGGGAATAGGAATATGGAAGAATGTATTATGAGATTTTCGTATTGTTTGTTTCCTTTGAGTCCTAGAAGACTTTGAATACTGAGAAAAGGAAATGTTGGCCTTTGTGTCCTTTGGCCCAGTTAGTGACGGGGCAGGTGAGGTGAATGGGTAGCGATAGTAAACTTAACAGTATAAGTGATGGCTCGTTCACATTAAAGCAGAGAGGATAGCAGGAGACGAATCAACGTGAAGGTTTAAAAGAAATGGTATTATTACAAAAGTGCTATTAGTAAAGTATTAGTAACTTCCTTTCTGCCAAATACTGAATTCATCTACAACAGCTTCATTAATGTAAATCTAAACTGTTTCATCAGGGAAGAATCTTAAACTTGTAGGAGTTAGATTTGTATTTAGTAATGATTTTTTCCTGTTCTTTAAACCTGTAGTGCTGCATTCCTAAGCTCAGGAGGCATAATAATAACAAACTCTTTTCTAATCGAGAGAAAGCCTAAGTTTCAATGTTTGCTGATTTTATAGTACTTCTGTATTTACTTCTGCTTAAAAAAAGTGTAAA